ACCCAACCCAACCCAAACCCCTTAGGAGAAACAAGAAATGTTTAACCCTTTGAGGCATCGTCTCTCCCTGGGGAGACTTTGCAGCCTCAGTAGTGGCTTTGCAGTAGAATAGAAAGATTATGGTTTTTTAGCAGCTGATCCATGCCTTTGCTACTAAGAAGAGCATGTGACTAATGTTAACTATTCATTAATTAACAGGCAAAGATCAAACGACCATGGCAGCAGATTATCAGTGCCTCACAAGACTCCACGACCTGTTTTATTAAGTAGCTTGGAAATTTTCAATTCCAGCGCCTTATCAAGTGTGCTTTATGAGTAACAATAGCTGGGGCAATTGTTCAACAGCTGAGCAATTCTGTTTATCTAAGCAAGCACCATACAAATCTATCAGTGCTTCTGACTGCAGCTCCTCTTGATGAGCCGCAGTAAGGTCATTGCCCTTGGTAGGGCAGAGCACGGCTTTAAGGATTTCCTCCTTTCTCAGCTGGAAGTTAACCCTCTGCAGCTATCATTGACCCCATGTGCGTATTTGGGCCTTCTGCTGTTTCACATGAGGCACCAATGCCCCTCAGAGCTTAGCTTTCTTATTGATCAGCTACCCTAACACCTGAACACATGCTCAGACTGGTGCCTGCACGTCATGACTTCTCATGACTGTGAAGGTCCCTAAAATCGGATGGGCTGAATCAGTCCAGACTTCTTTCAAATGCAGGTAGGGTGGGTTTGCTAAGCTGCCACCAAAAGCATTTTGGCAGAGCCCTTTTACTTTCCTCCTCCATACAGATACAGTACCTACAACCACCGGTACTACATTGCCGTGATTCTGTGATGTGCTAGCTTGGCTGTTTGCTGTTTGCTCGTGCTTTTGTGGCTACAGGCAGCAGCATTAGGGACAGGGTTTAGTGGTGGGATGGCAGGGTTAGGGGAACGGTTGGGCTGGGTGAGCTTAAAGGGCTTTTCCAACCCAAACCATTCTGTGATTCCCACACCTTGGTGTTCAGCCTCAAGAGCACCCCGTGTGCTGATTCAGCTTCCTCCTGTCACCCTGTTTCTTCCCATCCTCGCATGCTTGTATTCATTCCTCCTGCAATCTCTCCTTATCCGTTGTTCATGGGCTCGGCGTCTCCGAACACTCCCTGGAGAATAGTGGAGCAGGGTGCTTCAGTGTGCCAGCCTTTAGGACCTCCTCATGAGGGGGGAGCTGCTGGGACTGCACAGGAGGCTGTCGAGGCTGCTGTCAGCAGACCTTTGCTCTCTAGATGATGGTGGAGTCGGTCAGCGCGGCTGGACTCACTGACCAGCCATGGGAATTTGTCCCCTGGGTCACCCTTTTATTTCATTCTAATTATTGCCAAGGTTGGTCAGGCAAGGCTCACCCATGCCTTGAACACAGGTGGAAAGGTTATTAGAGTATTCAGCAGCTCCCGCGCCCCATTTTACAGGAGGAACATCTTAGGATTGAGAGCCTGACTGCCCTCTGCTTGGTCAGTAAGAGACTTGTGTCGGACAGCAAACTTGGAAGGCTGTGGAGCTAAGCTTGTGAAGAAAAAGCTTTCAGGGCTGATCAGTATTTACCCTCTTCATGACCCAACTCTTGTTCACATTTGCCACCCAAAAGCCGTTTCTGAAGCTGTTGGTGTGCACAGGACTGCAGTCCCTGTCTCCCTGTGCTAGGCCGAAGTTTAACCACAGACTCAATTGTGTCGCTGGCAGAGCTGCCATTTGCTTCCCCCGCCAGAAGATGCAATTTTCTATCAACCTCTGTCCTGTTCACTTCACCCTCCAGGTATTTTCCATCTTCTCCTCCCAGTGTCAGCTGAGATCCTGTCTTTGTGAATTTGCTGGGTTGTTGTTGTTCATTGCAGGCCAGCTTCTATCCTTGTTAATACTTGAAACCAGCTGCCCGAGCGATCTTTAAATCTGGCCCACGCGTCTGGGCGGCATCTCTGCCAGCACACATATTTCCACAAACAAAGCTTGCATTGCTTTAGGTTTAAATTGGGGGTTGGCTTGCTTGAACGAGTTCCAAATAAAACATTAAGGCAAGAGAAAAAGTGCAAGCAGCTCGAGCCGATATTAAACAGGACAACCTCTGGGAAGCATCTCGCTTTACAGAAAAGGATGGGAATGCTGATTCTGCCAAGGCTTCCCAGCTCTTTCGGAAAGGGGAAGAAAGTTTCTTTTATTTAGCTGTTCCAAATGGCAAATGGTCCACAGCCTTCCCCTCGCGTTTCTTTCCCCAGCGGCTGAAAGGGGGATGCTTGGCCTTGTGGATGCAGAGTGAATGTATTGTATTCTGCAGAGCTCTTGAGCCTGCCTCAGTAACTCGCAGCATGTGGAAGCAGCAGGGCGAGCGGTTGTGGCTGCTGGCGGTATGGCAAAGTGGTGGCACGGTGCCGCGGGCTGTGGGGCCGGGAGAGCCTGCAACGGTGGCTGGTGTGGCTCTGGGCATCCCTCTGATGGTCTCTGTTCCCTCCTCACCAGGCGGACATCACAAAATGTGTGGTGAATACCGACCCCAGCCTTCGCTCCCACTGGCTTGTGGCCGCTGTTTGCAGCTTCGGTCACTTCCTCAAGGCTATCTTCTTCGTCCTGCTGCCTGAGAGATGAATCCGAGTCGCCAAGTGCAGCCGCCCCTACCCCATCTCTCCCCACCCCACTCCAGAAGCAGTGGTAACGGCAGTCTCGGAGGAGGAGAAGGAAGAGAAGAACGGGGACACACTAAAGGCTTGTTCTCCTCTTCCTTCAGCTGGGAGCAGATGAGCAACCACAGACTCCTTTTTGCAGCCGCGGGAGCCTCTCTCACCATTCATCCTTTCAAGATCCTTGTTTCCCTGGGTGATTCGTGTGTGTGGCCTGGACGTTGCCAGTCCCCAGGCGCGCTGGTTGCTGCTGCGTGCAGCACGGCCTGTCAGGCATCGGCTCCTTGTGGCTGTGTTGCATGCTTCTGCTAGTGCCAGGCAGAGGGGAGGAGGAGGGGGATGTCATCTGAAATGGGACAGAAAACAGGAGAGGGGGAGAGTCCCTCCTTTGCTCTGTGTGGCTCCCCTTTCAGTCCTCAGACTTGCCTTGCCTGGATTCTTCTTACATTTGCGCTTAAATTTCATCTCCTCCTGTATACCTGACCCTGACTCGCTGGGCTCTGCCCCCAGCACAGCATGGTGGAGCGGTTTTACCGTGGCAAAGCCAAAGGTGCTGGTGTCTGATGATTCTCCCTGCTGCCTCTCAGCAATCAGACCCAGTGGCAGGGCGAGAGGGCAGCTGCATGGGATGTGGTTTGCATGTGTGTTTCATTGACCCCTCTCACGTGCCATTTCAAGCCAGAGAGCAAGGGGCAGTGCCTTCAAGCAACAACTCGGGACTGGATTTCATAACAAAGAAGAATGTGTTCTCTGCTGGGGTTTCCTCAGAGCTAAGCGTGTGGGTAGGAAAGGCTGGGGGGCATGGGCAGGAATTAGGGAAACAGTAAGTGAACCGTCTGGTGTGGTGAAGGGCGAAAGTTGTGTCAGAAGGGGCTGATTGATGTTTCTCCTTTAATGTCTTCGGAAGTACAGCTCACAGTCGTCTTTGTGGCAAACAATAAAAGAAACTAGGTGGTGTTTCATTATTGCGAAGGGTATTGTATTTGTTTCCAGAGTTAAAAATTCCAAAAAAGGCCAGAACAGTGCAGAGACAAACACTTGGGCCATGCTAAAAATACTCCAGCTTTTCCCCTGGTAGGACATGTTAACGTGTTAGAACTGCGACGGCCCGGTTCGTGCTGGGAGTTTAACCCCTGGTGTTACTGCATTGGAAACGTGCTGCTTGCACTGACAGAGGCCGGGGCCTCGCTGCCGTCGGCAGGGAAAGGCTGCGGAGCCTCTTTGCTGCCAAAGCCTCGCAGGAGATGCCCTGCTCGCTGCCTGGCTCCCAGGAGTGTGGCGTCGCAAAACCTCCCCGTTCTGGATTAAGAACATGTGGTGGTACAGGAGATTTTACCGTTTGGGGTTTTTTTTCCCTGATTTCCCTCCCACCCCTTGTGTTTAGAGGGGCTTTACTGCTTCCATCCAGAGGTTACAGATGGGTTGGAGGATAAGGCAGAGCCTTAGGTTACACCTGTGCGACGGTTCCTGCTAGCAGCTGGTGCTGAGCTCTGACCAGTGGGACTGCTGGCAGGGGATGCCTTGGTGGCCGGACCCTGGCAGGCTCCTGCTTTCCACTGCTCCAGCCTTTTGCACGTCTGCTGATGCCTCGACGTGCGGGTACCAGGCCCAGCTTTACTCCCCATGCCGCACCTGCAGTGAAGGATGCTCTACCAGCTCGCACTTTTTCAGGAGTGAAGTAATTCTTGTCAAGTAAAACCTGTGAAAGAAAACCCTCTCCCATCCCCAGGCGCCCAACAGGAACACCCACCGTGGCGGAGAAAGCCTCCAGTTCGTACCGAAGCTGCGTGCTGCCTTCAGCAGTGTCAAGGCAGACTTTGGCTACGCTATTAAAAGTTGGGGGGGTTTATCCCGACAAAGTTCCCAGCATGGATGCGGCTGATGTTGCTCTGAGGTTGGTGCATCTTTTGGGTGTGTAAAGCTTGCAGCTCTTCCCCAGATAAAACCAAATTGCCAAAGGAATATTATTTTTTTCCTTCCTGACATAATTATATTGGTGTTAGGGGGTTTGCTGGCTCCTCTCCCACTTGGGATTTTCTTCCTTAGGTTCTGGATAGCTCCAGCTATGGCATCCTAGAGCAGGTATACGTGGTGAACTGAACGCATCGCGCTTTGCGCAGCCCGGAGGGGATCCAAAGCAGCCAAAGCCCTGCAGGTCGCTGCAGGGGGTGCAGCTTCATTGTCGTAAAGGGGCTTAGGAAAAAGTAAAGTTGGGACTTTCTGGACATGCCCCGGCTGCACACAGATTTTGGCTCGGGCGGTCTCATGGCTGACAAAGCCCCGCCCGCTGCATCGCGCCGGGTGTTTTGTGAAGTGCATGTGAGTTAACGGAGCCAGCGCCTGGGCCCAGCACTGGCGCTGCCCAGACCTTTCTCAATTTAGATGCTGTTTGAAATGTGATCGTTAAGGCTGTGGCTGCTTTTTCAGTGAACAGTTACATATCGGAGGGACTCTTGAGGAACATAAAGGGTTAAATGCACCAATTAAGTGGGTCTAACAAAAAGATAATGGTAAGCCAAATAAAGCAGCGTTGCTGGAAAGGAATGTGCGTGGGTGGGAAGGGGGTTACAGGGGCGGGCGGGCAAAGACCGGGAAACTGCTGATAACCAAGAGCTTGGGGAGCTCCCCACAGATGGGTTTCCGTGTTCTCTGGCTTCCCTCTTTCTTCTTGCATTTGCCGGTCCCTGCAAGGTACAGCCCAGGGCTGGAGCGGCCGAGCATGCTGCAGGTGACCCGGGGGCTGGTGTTACCCTTCTTCCTCCCCCCGCAGTAACCGCCTCGGTACCAGGCTTGCTCCTAACACAAACAGCAATCGGCATTGCGCACGCTGCCATGCGTTCAGCCGGCCCCAGCCTCCAGCCGGACCCAGCCAAGTATTTACGCCGCGCTTAGTTGTAGTTGCAATGTTTAGGCATTTCGGAGCCCTCCCAGAGGTCCTCTGCAGCCTCAACAGCACCATGGCTCCGTCATTTTTCTTTTCCCTCTTGTCTTTTGGCCAACCCTACCTGATGGGAGACATCAGGCTTGGCTGTTTACCGCCCCAATAAACATTTTCCTTTTAGGTGACTGGTGACGGACCTCGGAGTGTGTCTGATTTATTCAGCTGGTAGAGGAAACCAGGGATGTAAGTACCAAGGTTAGGACTATCGCGTTCCTTTGCACTGAACGCCTGGCTGCTGTTCTTCTGCCAGCATCAAAAACTGACACCCCACACCCCCCCGCAACTAGCCAGCTCGTGTTTTTTTCCCCCCAGTGTTTCCAATTATCTGCCTGAGAAAACTGCTCATTTGCAGTTGCCTTCATTTCTTTTTTAAGCTGTTTTGTTCACAGAGTGTTCCAAGCAAGACTTCCCCATGCACATGCTGGGGGGGCTGCTCCCTGTGCCCGGTCACCATTACGCCCACTGCCCAGTTTCATCCCCTTCTTCTAAAGGGCAGCAGCTGCCTCAGGGGCCAGGGCCAGACCTCCCTTAGCACTGGGAAACGCAGCTGCTGTGCCCCCCCCTCAGCACACGCAAAATCCAGCCAAGCTTTTGCTGCATCTGCCTTGCTGCAGCGGCCGGGGGTCCGGGGAGGGCCAGGCTGTGGCAGCAGGGGCCGGGTGGCGGTGGGAGATGTCTGGGGATCGGCGGGAGGAGGGAGAAAGGCTTGGAAGTGGGGAAATGGCATCTTAACTATTGGAGTGGGCATGGAGCGTTTTGCAGAGGAGGGTGGCCTGTGAGTTGGTACAGCGGGGAATGTCAAGGTTAGAGAGCTGAGCCTGCAGGAGCCTGAGCCTCAGCACCCCTGTGTCCACAGAGGAGCTCGCTCCGCGAAGGATTATCCCAACCTCCTGGCGCTGCCTTCGTTCTCAGTTTCTTTGCCACAGGCCTACGTTCAGTCAACAGAAAGAGTGGCTTTATTGAAAAGGCAAGGAGCAGCAAAGCCCTCTCAGCCTGGGCGGTTCGCGGGCGGGCACCTGAGCAATGCTTATCGCCTCCTCCTGCTTTGACCGTGGCCTGATTGCACCGCTCCTTTGCCAAACACCGGCAGTGGGTTCACCTTCTCCGGAGCAGCTGGAGAAACCCAAGCGGCCTCGGCCTCGCAGCAGGTGTCGCTTGTGTCCCTGTGCTGCCTTTGCTCCTGTAAATGGAAAGAAAACAGTTGGTGAAGCCCTGAATTTATCCGACTTGCATCCGCATTCTGTACCAACACAGGGAACAAGGCGGCGGGGAGCAGCGCTGAGGCTTCCTGGAAAACTGTGGCACCAAAGTTCCTCATTTTCAAACTCATTGTTCAGACCCTGAGAAAAAGCTCTGCCTTTTCTTCCTCCCTATTCTCCTTTCAAAGTGCAAAGAGGGTTTTGTGCGCAGTTAAGCTGAACCTGAAGCAGGTTTCAAGGCTCTGAGCTGGCTTTCTAAAAAGATCAGGCCCCCGGGGCATTCCGACAGCTTCGCCAAGAGCCTTCTTGATGCGGCTCTCATCAACGCATGGCTCCTTGAATTTCTTTACTGCTGTTTTTTTTTTAAATCTAGTACTTATAATTCTTATAAACTTGCCACAGGTTATTCTCTTAGGGCAACGTGAAAACAACACATGCTCCTGAATGAAGAAAACAGTGATTTCATGTGCTGGTGTCAGAGTCTACGAATTCCTCCTAGGCAAGCAGTTTGACAGATGGGGTTTAAATACGCCCCTGAAAAGCCTGTAACCTCTTTAACCCTAAACATTTTGGCCCACTGGGGTGACGAGCCCCCAGCACAGCTACGCCCAGAGATCCTCGGTTGAACTTGACACTGTCACCCAGGACCTGGAAGTGCATTGCACGGCCAAGCCAAGCCTGTGGGAAACACAATGCTCCCGGCTCAATCACACGACACGCAGCCCCTGTCCAGGCAAGGTCAGATGGAAAAAAAACCCTTCCCCTCTCACAGGGGAAAATAAAAATAAAATGTGTTTGGAAGGGAACTTCCAGCTTCCTTACAAGCACATGTCAGAGCTTTAGCTCGGTGAAGCTTCATCGCTTTTCTCTGCCCGAGAGCAGCGCTGGAGCTTGTCTCCTCTGCCACCGCAGGGAGATGCACTGACCCATCTCTGCTTGCGCCAACCACTAACTCCGAAAAAAAGCACCGGGCAGATCGATCCCCTCTTGTTTGAAATTTCCACTTCTGGCCCTGTCTCATGACCCGTGCTTGCACTTCGTTAAGCTCCATGTTTGAGCAAGACAAGGTGTTTCCTACCCATCCCCTGCTGGAACGGGACCGGCACTGGGCTTTGGTCAACAGAAGAGCACTGGTCCGCACTTCGGAGGCCTGGGGACAGTCCCAGTACCTTCATCCTCTCTAGCCCAACAGGAGCCTGGAGCTGGCCCCTGGCCCTGCAGCCATTCTCTGGGTCCTGCAGCACAAGGTAATTCCTTGCCGCGTCCCGCCCGGCTTCTGTTGGGCAGTGGCTGAGCCGGTCCCTCGCAATGCAGCCTTGGCCTCCCAGTGCTCCGTGCCCCTGTCCCGGTAATGTAAACCACCCGCAGGTCGATCCTGAAGCCCTCTCGGCATCAGGGTGTCACCTTTTCGCTGCTACGGTGGGGGCCTGAGCCAGGAGCCACGTGGGGGCTCCCACGGGAACACTGTGCTCCTGTTTCCCACCAGAACTGAGCGTGGGTTTTTCTGGAGATCCAAGAAGAGGATTAAAACAAAAACCCCAGCCTTTTTTTTTGATCTCCTTGGCACTTCAAAAGAAAAATTAAATCACTGCTGATCACTTTGCTCTCAGTCCCTCAGCCAGGAGATGGCCAGACCCCAACTTCTTAAGCCTGGCAGGCTTCTGCCAGCACAAATCCCTTTGCCTGTGCTACCAGGCTTTCCCTCTCGATGCCTTAAGCATCGGTTTACTGCCAGAGCTCCTGGGGAAAGGCATCAGACCCCCACAGCCGCTGGACCCCGCAGGTTGGTTTTCCTCCCAGAGAGGGCAACCCTTTCCAGAACGCCTGGAGCTGCGGCAGAGCTGGGTGCTGTCCTGAGCAGCAGCAATGACCCCATTGCATATATTCCCTTTTGTTAGGGCTCCACCACATGCATTTATACAGGGTGGAACAGGAGAAAGCACGACTGGCATTAGAAAGGGAGTGAACATCCCAAAAGCGTTGTGTCCAGAGCCTCCCCTGCCTGTTGAAGGGTTTGGGTGCACCCCATTGCCTCCCCTTGGCACTTGCCAGGCTGGTGCATGCTGCAAGCCTGGGAGTCGTGGCTGACAGGAGCTTACTCAGAGCTGGGAAAAGCCGCTTTGAATGCCGCTGCCCTTGGTTTTTATGGCTTAACTGGAGAACGGCGCTACCAAAAATACGTACACACTCAATCTAACGCTTTGTCGCTGAGGAGAGCGATGGACTTGCAGAGCGAAGCCAGGGCTGTGCGTTATTGCAAGCACTAAACCTACTGGAGTCTGCAACTAGCTCCATCACGATGCGGCGGCGTTCCCAAGCCCTGCAGCACACCCAGCGGGAAGACTGGGAAAAGCGCACAGCAGCTTTGCTTAAACTGAAGCAGTTTGATAAAAAAAAGAGTGGAATGCGCCGTGCTGTTTCGCTGTTCCAGTCACAGACCGGAGGGTTTCCGTAGGGGCGGTGGCTGGTTGGAGCGCGGAAGCAGCGTGGGGGAGCCGGGTGGGACGTCTCTGTTCAGCACATTAATTCCTGCTACAGTGAGCTGCCGTGAAATAATTATGGTCTGGTGCTGTGAAGGCTGGGTACGAGGAGGTAAAAAGTCACGGCAATATTGCTGTCAGCAGGCTGGATCCAAGCTGGACGGGAGAGCCCGGCCTCCGAAGGGACCAGCTTGGGCCTGGCTGGAGGCTCAGGGAGATGCTCTCCACTAGGCATCATTTTCCAGGCAGCCTCCAAAACCAGCCAGGCCCTACCCAAGCTGCCATGAGCATCCGGCAAGAGCGGGCTTGATCCAGAGGTTGTGCCCGCAGCCCAGTGGGGACTCGGCCCTGGGGCGGGAGGGACGGAGGCTGCTGTCCATCCAGAGGGACTAATGGGCGACATCGTCCCTGTTCCTCCCTGTGGGCAGACTGCGAGCATCTGCACTGCACGGGGACTCGAGGTGCTGAGAATTTGCCCTCTTAGGTTGGAAGAAGTTGGACTTGTGTGAGTGAATGCTCAAGTCCAGTTCCTAACAGTTTCCAGAGTGGCGGAGAGCTGGGCTGGGGTCTGCAGCGCCCAGTCCTGAGCTTAACACATGCACTAAGTCTTGGCCTAAGGGCCATCGGAGCCTGCAGAAAGGTTTTAGGCTCCAGCTCTAGTTCCAGAACTGGAGCTGGAGGAGAAGGAGCATATAAGCATTGGGCGATGGGTAAGGGCATGGCAGCCCCCCGAGCGGCTGCTGCAGCCAGAAAGCAGCTTGGCCCCCACTGCTGCACCTTGGCCCTTGGGATCGGCCCTGCCTGTCATGCCAAGGGGCTGCCCGGATTTGCTGCCTCCTGGGGCAAATACAGCTCTGGGGCTGAGCAGAAACAAAGCCTCAGGGACCCCAGGAGCCTGAACC